GGGCATCTGGCTGTGGAACGGCAGTGTTTGGCTGGGTGTCCTAGACGCCAACAATTTTGGCACTGACGTGGAGGAGGTTGGTATGGACGAACAGGGAGGGATTCTCCTCCTATGTAGACGTTAAAGGGAAGGTCATGTCTACGGAAGGTAATTTTGGCTATGTTAGTGGGTTTCTTTCGATGACCTCTGGGGGGGATGGAGTAGCATTGTACTGATGTTGTATCGTAGTCTGTGAGACAGGCAAGTAGATCTTCTCCACAATCTGACCAATCTTTGTCATAGATTGGGCAATTTGCTGGTGAGATTGAGACTGTTCCGGTGCAAGTATTGAGGGTTGGATGGGGTTCTGCTAGGATGGGGTTACCATACTGGTCAGTTAGTTTTGTTAATGCTATGGCTTGGTTTTCGGATGTTACTGTTACAAGACGGGAGCGGTCGGGTCGGCTACGGAAAGAGACTTTACCTACTTGTTTTTGGAGGCATTGTTGGAAGAGAAGGGTGTTGTCAGAGTAGGGAGCTGTGGGAGGGATCACGAAAAATCGGTCCCATTTGGCTGCACTGAAGAGAGTATTCAAGATTGTTTTAGAGATAGGGGTGGTAGAATGGGCGAGGGCGTGACGAAGATGGAGTAGTGTTGAGGGAGGTAGTGTTATGGAGAGGTGGGCTATAAGGCTGTAAGGTATTAATAAGGGAGGATGGGGTGGTTGATGTTGGAGGTTGTGGGGGTAGAGGTGTTGAAGTTGGGCATGCTGGGAGAGTGGAAATGTTCCTTGAGGGTTGATTGTTGGCTACTGTACTAGTAGGCATTGGTGAAGGGGTAGTTATTGCAGTGTTCGGAGCCGTGGTCAAAGGAGAGCCTGGGGTCGGGGAATCAGGTGGGTTTACTTCGTTGGGGCTATTTGATAAAGGGGCAAGCCTCATTGCCCCTAACAGTGGAGATATATTTTCATTACTGGCCATGGGAAGCCTGGATTATGTTGGGGATAAAAGCAGTCCACCCTCAGGGTCCCCTTGAGGGGTAAGGGCTAGATAACTAAATCAGGGGAATACCGTGCCCATGGCTCCCTCAGGCCGTTCAGGACTGGCACAAAGTCAGCCTTTCATCCTTTCAGCACGGCTCTCACACCTTAGGAGGTGGATAGCAGAAGGGTTTGGTGAAGGGACAGAAACAAAAGTGGGAAGGGAAAAAAAGACCATGCATAATTAGTTGAGTCGAGGGCTGAGTCCCAAGGTTGGGGAGTTCCCCATCATTGGGTCCCAGTCTCCGCCTCCTAAGCCCCCCCACGACAACAACGGGCAAGGGATTGGGGGGGTGTAGTAGATGAAGAAGTAGAGGATGTTGGGAGAGGAGTGTTTCCTGAAGGTTGAGTAATGACCTGGGTGGATGATTTAGACTGGACCGAGGTGATAATGGGCTTTGTAGAGGGAGCCAAAGGAGAGCCAAGGGTCAGGAAACCAGGGTGAGCTGCTACACCCTCGGTGCTGTGCTGTCGTCATCGGTTTGCTGTATTTTGTGGAATCCCTATGGTTCTTCTTTACTATGATGTGCAGTCATTAATTTACATTTCATAAAAGGTTGCAAGTACAATAGTTTGTGCATATCAGATTAGTAATGCTTCTTGACATTGGGTTCTCTTAAAGATATTCAGTGAGAATTTTGTTCTTTGCACCTTTTTTCTTTATCAATGGGAATTCAGTATAGCTAATCCTCAAACTTGGCCTGCTGTGGCTCAATAACTTTATAATTTCATTGTTTCGCCATCACAGACATGCTAGTTCTTTTTGTTCTTGATGTTGTGCAGTTTGTGAAAATTGTTATATGAGTAAATGATCTTTACTTCTTATAAAGAACTGAGACAAATATCTGAAAAAAGGTGTGATGTTGCGACTAGTTACCTGGCTACTCTGTTGACAAATCAGAAGAGCCATACTAAAACTGTGACATGTGTACCAAAACAAAAAGGCCAGAATAATATGGTTAGATTTATATTGTGCAACTGAAAATAGTACCATGATTTTGAAATGAACTAGTTTTCATAACTTAAAATAAAGTATAGAGCTTCAAAATTTCTCTATTTCATTGTAGCAATGTCTACTATAAAGTCTTCAGCCGCAGAGTATCAGTTTTCTACAAGTACATCAATTTCCAAGGATACATAAACCATTAGCAGTGGAGTTTTCTTTTATTTGCAACAGTTAATTTTGTACTGAGCCATTCAGTCATCTTGCAATATAATACTGAAAAAAAAGATGCAGCTCAAATAAAAATGAAAGGATATGTTCCTTAGTAAACTGTGCAATTCTGAAAAAATATAGTTTAAAAACTTGTTTTGGTATTTCAAATCCATTTCTTGTACAATGCCTTAACAGTGAAGATTGCTAGCATTTCCGTATACTTAATCTAACATAATCCTATCAGTATACGTAATTTAATGCCAATAACAATATTACTGCAGTCATTCATTACAGACAATTGTATTCATAATGCAATATATCTTTCCAATGAATATAAGTCTCTATATATACACACATGGCTATATACCAAGGCATAGTGTTTAACGGATGCAGTATTTTCCTCTTCCTCTTGATTTACAGTTTACTAAATGTCAAATGACATTACATTGTAATAAAAGACTGTCCTGTGTAATAGCACTATTCTCACACCATCTGTGAGCTGCACTTTATATTCTGTCACTGAAAAGTTTGGAATACAACTATAACAAGTATATGAATAGCTATTGGAGATGCACTCTACAAAAATATTTACCATCTGCATAATATGTGAACAGAAACACTTGATGAGGAATGAAGTTTTTCTTTTCAGTGCAGTGTCCAAGGGGAATTCCTTTGCTTAGTAACTTTTGAAATACCCTGTTTCTCCTCACTCATTTTATGAGTTGTCCAAACAAAAGGATAGATTAACTCTAGAAGGCAAATATCAAAATAACGTGTTAACATGAATAAGCCTAAAGAACACAAAAGCACCAAAATCTGTATAAACTTAAGATCTCTTACTATGCAATGTAAAAATCACCTTATAATGTTGTACAGCTTATATATATAGAATTCATTCCTTTAGGATATTCCATTTTAATATTCAAATACTTCATTTTGATGATGCCTTTACAGCTTATACAAAAAAAAAAAGAATATTCAAAATGAAATAATGCAATTAAAGTTTAACACAATCACTCTTTTTTTCTCCCAACTCAATTCTCCTTCTTGCATTAACATTCTGCAAAAAATATATGTAAAATAATTATAATAATAAAATTAATAAAAATAAATAAATAATTAATGACTATAACATATCAAAAGCACATCCTTTTTCATTTCCTATACTCAACCATTTTTGTTAAACATACTTGAGCATTTTACCCTCATCAATAAACCCGAGATTCTACATGGGATTTTTTCTAACAGCAAACTACTGACAAAAAGGTTTCCTTGAAAACATCATTTCCCTCTGTTATCAGTCGCCAACCATCAAGATTTAACAAGCTTTAAAAGGTTTTAATCACAGGGAAAGCAAATGACTGACAGGTGTTATAGTTTTAGTACTGCACACTGAGGGTGAGGATATGCCTTTTTAAGATGCCTCTTGAACTAGAGGTATCCATACTATTTCCTGCATAATGATAACCACTAAGAGGAGTGAATATAAAACCCTGATTCTTGTAAGGCAATACTTTGAACACTTATTTCATCTCAAAATGCATGTCCAGTAAAAAAAAAAAAAAAAAGGGTAATGGTTAATAGTTTAAACAAACAAATGTGCTACAGAAAATAATGATAATTATAACTACACCAGTAGAAAAGACATTAGCATTTAGAGTTTGGTGTGTATAGTAAATCCAATAGCTATTCATATTATTACAAAAATTATAATTGTAACCTTTCATTTTTACTAAATAAAATAAGAAGATGCATATTAAACAATGCTAGTTTGCCTGCCACTTGTTTGACTGAAGTCTTGCTTATCAAATATTTCATGTACAAATATCAAATCTATAAATGTATATAAATCAACAAAATTCTCTTTCATTTCTCTACAAGAGTAGGATGAAACTACTGTTTTTCTAATAGAATATAAAAGAATATTATACAAGTTAAGATACAGGATACAAAAAAATAAATAAATGTATTAGCATACTTGAATAACCTTTCATTTTGTCTAAGAAATACCTTTCCTTTACTCCTAACTTGCACACCAACCATGAAAAAGACCTGTGGGAAGTTAGGCAAGACCCTGAACTGTATATACACAATCATCCAAATTTGATGGAAATAAAATATGCTTGGAATCTGATTCTAAAATAAATTTGTACATATCTGTATGGAGGAATTTGGTTTCTAAAGCAATACAATACTTCCCTCAGGTGTCATAGCTCATCAAATCTTCAAATGTTGGCTTTGCCTTCTTGGCCTTCTCTTTTGTATCTACCTCTTCCACTGACAAAGCTGGGGCACCTGCCAATCTTCGTGAACGCTGCACTACGGAAGAGGATAAAACTTTAGAACTACTGACTGCTGCTGATTTTGACAATTTGGATGGCTGATTTTGTCTCTTGGCTAAATGTTTCTGTGTTTCTGGAACATCAATTGATTTAGGCTTCTTGGAAATGCTTTCTTGTTCAATTTTTCTGTTTCTAATTCCCTGATTGAGTTCCCCACTCTTGTGTTTCAAATGCTCTTCAGCTGAATTTCTTATGGTTTTGTGATCTCCTGAATTCTGTTTTTCATGCTTTTCAACCTGCTTCTCATTTGTTCTTCCCTTGAATTGTTGTAACTTTACTCTCTTATTGCCTTGCACAGGTTTGCCTGGGAGTCTAGGAACTTCTGAATTATGAGGTTTTGATAAGCATTTCCCAGTGCCTGGCACGCTGCCTGTTTCATGTAGGGAAGCTTTACTATTTCCATCACTCTTGACTACTTTCACTGGAACATCATCAGTGTTGAGTTTCCTTTTCACTTTTGCTTTGTAAGGACTAGCTTTAAAATGTTTTTAATCACAGGGAAAGCAAATGACTGACAGGTGTTATAGTTTTAGTACTGCACACTGAGGGTGAGGATATGCCTTTTTAAGATGCCTCTTGAACTAGAGGTATCCATACTATTTCCTGCATAATGATAACCACTAAGAGGAGTGAATATAAAACCCTGATTCTTGTAAGGCAATACTTTGAACACTTATTTCATCTCAAAATGCATGTCCAGTAAAAAAAAAAAAAAAAGGGTAATGGTTAATAGTTTAAACAAACAAATGTGCTACAGAAAATAATGATAATTATAACTACACCAGTAGAAAAGACATTAGCATTTAGAGTTTGGTGTGTATAGTAAATCCAATAGCTATTCATATTATTACAAAAATTATAATTGTAACCTTTCATTTTTACTAAATAAAATAAGAAGATGCATATTAAACAATGCTAGTTTGCCTGCCACTTGTTTGACTGAAGTCTTGCTTATCAAATATTTCATGTACAAATATCAAATCTATAAATGTATATAAATCAACAAAATTCTCTTTCATTTCTCTACAAGAGTAGGATGAAACTACTGTTTTTCTAATAGAATATAAAAGAATATTATACAAGTTAAGATACAGGATACAAAAAAATAAATAAATGTATTAGCATACTTGAATAACCTTTCATTTTGTCTAAGAAATACCTTTCCTTTACTCCTAACTTGCACACCAACCATGAAAAAGACCTGTGGGAAGTTAGGCAAGACCCTGAACTGTATATACACAATCATCCAAATTTGATGGAAATAAAATATGCTTGGAATCTGATTCTAAAATAAATTTGTACATATCTGTATGGAGGAATTTGGTTTCTAAAGCAATACAATACTTCCCTCAGGTGTCATAGCTCATCAAATCTTCAAATGTTGGCTTTGCCTTCTTGGCCTTCTCTTTTGTATCTACCTCTTCCACTGACAAAGCTGGGGCACCTGCCAATCTTCGTGAACGCTGCACTACGGAAGAGGATAAAACTTTAGAACTACTGACTGCTGCTGATTTTGACAATTTGGATGGCTGATTTTGTCTCTTGGCTAAATGTTTCTGTGTTTCTGGAACATCAATTGATTTAGGCTTCTTGGAAATGCTTTCTTGTTCAATTTTTCTGTTTCTAATTCCCTGATTGAGTTCCCCACTCTTGTGTTTCAAATGCTCTTCAGCTGAATTTCTTATGGTTTTGTGATCTCCTGAATTCTGTTTTTCATGCTTTTCAACCTGCTTCTCATTTGTTCTTCCCTTGAATTGTTGTAACTTTACTCTCTTATTGCCTTGCACAGGTTTGCCTGGGAGTCTAGGAACTTCTGAATTATGAGGTTTTGATAAGCATTTCCCAGTGCCTGGCACGCTGCCTGTTTCATGTAGGGAAGCTTTACTATTTCCATCACTCTTGACTACTTTCACTGGAACATCATCAGTGTTGAGTTTCCTTTTCACTTTTGCTTTGTAAGGACTAGCTTTACTGTTTTCCACATGAACTGTATTTTTTTCATTTTCATTTTGAGTTTTTGTGTTACTTTTCACTTTGTCACTTTCTGTATTGTTCAACTGTGAACTTCTATCTTTTGCTTTAGCCATTTTGTTATCACTTTTACTGTCAGATACTAAAGATAACTGTCCTCCACTTTTACCAGCATCTTCACGAACTTCCTTCAACTTTGTACTGTTAACATGTGAAGAGATTTTCATAGATACTCTCTCTAAAGAACTACTAGTAATATGATTAAAGTCAACTGTACTAGTTATGCCAGACTTGAGTGAGTTTCTTTTCTTTTCACTTCCTTCCTCTGCCACTTGAATTCCTTCTATAGGTGATTGATCTGATTCTGGCAATGATTTTTCAGGACTGTTTAAGATAGTGGCACCAGCTGCTACTTTCAAATCTGAATTTCCACGTGTTTTCTTTTTCACTCGGTTTCTTCTCACAGCACTAGGCAGTGAAAGACGATTAGCTCCTCTCAAATCACTAATACTGCTGGTTTCTTCACAATATTGATCATCTAATATTGGCACTGATGGATTCCTACCTTTGGCTTTCCCATTACTTTTAGCATTAGGAATAGTTCGGCTACAATTTGTTGAAAGACTTCCTAAAATGTTAAATTCTAATGTATCTGGATCATCAACTTCAGTCACTGGAGTAACTTCATTGACTTGTCCATCCACCCTAAGCTTCATGCCTGGTCTCAAAAAGGGTATTACTTGAATGCCCAGCTTACAGACATCTTCTGGCTGTTTCTCTAGGTGATCATGTAGTGATTTAACACCCAAGATAATCTTTTCAGTCTGTTCATGATCTAATAAAATAGGTGCAATTTGCATGAGCCAGCCTCTAAATGTCTCTGATCCACCTCCAATCATGAGGGACGTTCTCCACAAGGAATAAATGACACCATTGCTAAACTGAGCCAGGGACATGGGCTTTGCTGTGCCTTCCATGAGCTCGTCCAGTGAGGTCTGTCTTAAGAAATCTTCCCAGTGAATCTCTGCTTTTCCTGACCCATCGTGAGTTGTACTTGGCTGCTCCTGTTTACGTACAGAATCAAGGAATTTTTCACTTTTGTTGCCCAATTCATTTACCTTGTCAAATTCATTATCAGGTTTCTTTTTACTTTTGCCACTGACACTTTGAACTGTGCTCATTTTCTCATGTGCTATAACTTTGGGCGAATTTGTAACAATAAATATTTCTCCTGGGATTGTGTTACTCATTTCATCATTATCCATGTTACTTGAATATTTGGAAAGTGTAAGGAGGTAATGTGCCAGTTTACTCTGACACGGTCTTAGACCTTTGTCATACAGTTCATTTGGCATTAACTGAGTCAGCCATGTGGCCAAATCTCCTATGGCAGCTCCAATCTGCACTCGAAAGTCATTGAGAACCAGTAACATCCATATGGAGAATTCTTGCATTTCTAATGGCTGACGTTGAGGTTTGCTGACAAGGTCATCAATGCTGAAACTCTTCATTACTTGAAGAATTCTCTTCAGAAGTTTTGTCATTTCATCCTGCAAAAACACAGAGGAAATTAATGAACTGTTTGTCATTTCATCCTGCAAAAATACAAGAGGTAAATAATACACTTAAGTGCCCCCCCCCCCCCAAAAAAAAGTCAATCCTACAGGCTAATAGAATTGCAGTAGTTCATTTTATTCATGTTCACTTTGACCTAAAATGCTTCTTTTAGATATATGAAATCTTAATTAAAACACACAGAAAAGAACCCTGCATATTTTTCTTATTTCCTTACAGTATTCAATAATTTGGTGTCAGAGCAGACCATAACTCATGCTCTTGTCACATTACAACATAAAGGCCATGACTCTTACCTGTTCTCTCTTCTGAGGCCTCACTGGGTCAGCTTCGATGTTCATGGTGTCAGGATTGAACGTTATGGTGTAATCTTTGAGCTTCACGTCTTTGGCCGGAATACCACTCGACTCTCCCACTTTGGACTTGACGAAGCTCTCGAACTGCTTCCCCAGACGACCAAAGCAGTACTTACAAACCTGAAATCATGGTGAATCTCATTACAATCCAATTAAGAATATTTGTGATTACAAACTATAACAAAATCTGTGTGTGTGTGTGTGTGTGTGTGTGTGTGTGTGTGTGTGTGTGTGTGTGTGTGTGTGTGTGTATCTGTTTGTGTGTGTATATATATATTCGCTTTTATTAAAAAACAACTAGTGTGAACGGGGTCGAAATCTTGAGCAATTTCAAGCAACAAGAGAAATAAAAGTAAAATTTCTGCATCCATCAGGACCAGCAACCTCTTTCTAGTTTCCAAACATTGACTTTTATACTATAGTAGCTTTGATTGCTAACTCATTTAAAAACTTTTTTTTACATCTATTAGCCTTCAATATACATTTTTGCAAAGAGACATTAGAAAATTTTCTAATATTTTCCTTTATTGTCGACTCATTCATCCATAGAGGACCCACTCTATAAACTTGTGTCATGGTTATCTATACATAAAGGAAGCTTTTGATATAAAATTTGCCTAAGGGGGGAGAGGTACTAATTCACAGGGAGACAATGAAAATGAATATGGTTTTTCAAGTAGGATATGTTGGAGAACCTGTTATATTTGAACAGAGCTTGAAAAGAGCTTTAAAATGAGCTATCACTGGACTCAATGGAACAACCAGAACAAAAGTTATTAATGTTTTACTGTTTGGGAGGTTGCGGTCAGGGCGGAACAGGGAAAATCTTTAGAAACTGATTTCTCGGCCCCCATTACAGATATTAAACTGAAATTTGGTGCATAGTCTTTTCTTACCATGGGAAACAAGTTCATGAAATGTGGAAAGATTCACACATTGTAAGGGTAAATTTTTGTTTTCAATTTTTTAATTTCATATGGAATTACCCTTACATATATACATATACATACATATATGTATACATATAGTATATATATAAATACATGTATACATACAATATATATATAAATATATGTATACATACATACATATATATATATATATATATATATATATATATATATATATATATATATATATATATATATATATACATATACATATACATATACATATATATATACATATACATATATATATACATATATATATATATACATATATATATATATACATATATATATATACATATATATATATACATATATATATATATACATATATATATATATATACATATATATATATATACATATATATATATATACATATATATATATATACATATATATATATATACATATATATATATACATATATATATATATACATATATATATATATACATATATATATATATACATATATATATATATACATATATATATATATACATATATATATATATACATATATATATACACACACACACATATATATGGTATTTTGATCACTCTTTATGAAATATAGGCTACAAGGTATTTTAGCTTTCTGAACACCACCGATGCTACTTCAAGTAATTCCATGCAAAATAAAAAAGAATGTCATGAAATTGAGAGCAATACCAGGTCCAGGTCACTTGAACTGATCGGTGATGTGAGACAGCTCAAGATAAGGCAGTAGGGTAAGGAATCACACCTCCTCATAATAGTCATAATAGCCCCCCTTCACGACATACAATTGAAATCCTTATTCATGTCAATATTATAAGGAATACAATTGAGAATATTTTGAATACTGAATATTCTATTGTGTTTTCTATAACTCTAGTTACTCAAATAAACCCAGGGTCTATTATTCACATTTTGAAGTCAGCTTCTTGAGGCAGGACAGGGAAAGGGTTAAAGGCCAAATGTACTACTTGGCTTTGTGGAGTCAAGAGTCAAAATCTGGAGCCAGTTGCAATAAATGGGTTATTGGAACCACCCCTTGTATGGTGTGTGCTTTCAATCAATATGAAAATACATCATCTGTCTAATTTAACATGGAGTCACAGTTGGAATTGGTAATGATATCAATAGTGGAGTCAGAGTCATAATCAATAGTATTATCAATTGTTGAGGCTGGGTAAAAGTTAGAATCAGTGTTATTATCAAAGATGGTGACCGTGTTGAAGACTGTTTATTGTCACCACCACCCTGGCATTTTTATAAGCACTTACCTTCCCAAGTTCCTGGTCACGTAATGAAACTTCCACCGGTGTCACATTGAGGGAGATGCAGACCCATCGTAGAGATATCATGAGCGATGGTGGTCGAATCATGGTATTGATGTTCTTCCAGAAGCTTTGTTCAACATAGTAATTACAACCACAGATCACACATCTTCCTCGCACATTCCCAGGAACTACATTTCCTTTTCCCTTGTTTAACTGATTTGTAAAGATTTCCTTATCAGCATGGTGAATGGATTCACATGCATCAATTTCTTGACTAGGAGTTATGGAACTGAAAATCAAGTGAGATGCAGGAGGAGATGAACCTCCCAATTCTGAGTGAAAAGCAGTTGCAGACTCTTCAGAATGGTGGCTTGGGGAGCTTTGACTGATATTCTCTTCAATTTTCAGTGCTGACACTGGCTTTCCCCCAAAGGCCTCAGCTGGCAGGACTGAACGCAAATCCTCTAACAAGACAATAGGTTTTGGTGGTTTGGAGTCATCAGCATCACTGTTTCCATCACTGCTTGCTTCTTGTTTACTACTTGGCTGTTCTTGCACCTTTCCAATGGGTT